TATATATAATCTTTTCATCATTTTTAGATGTTTTTTGCTTGTGGATGAGTCTGTTATATTTGTATTGTCAACGAGTATGTTGTGGATGAATTTTGCCGTTCGCATTACATCGCCCTGGACACAGCACAATTAGATCTCATGTCAGTACACAAGGAGATCTGGCAAACTCAATCTACAACATGCTCATTGAGAATACAAATATAATAGACTAATCTCCATGAAAAAGACAGTTAAATATAATGAAAACATTAATAATATATAATTCGTATTTATAAAAATTAGTATATATATATATATATATATATATATATATATATATATATATATATATATATATATATATATATATATATATATATATATATATATATTCATTTCATTGAATACGACAGACAAGGTGCTTTTATTTAATTTTATATACAATTTTTTATCCGATCTAATATATATATTTTTTTTCTTTTCAGATGATAAATTATATAAAAACTGTCCAAATGTTCTTTTTATCCGTTGCGCTTTCGGCTATAGATTTAGCCATTTTCAAAGATTAAATATTTTAAATGTTTAATAAGGAATAACTTGTTGCATATATATTTTGTAAAATATTTTCATTTTTCAAAACACGTCCAAGATATTGTGTCCATGTTCATAGATAATATTTTTCCTTTTCTTTTTTTTTTTATTAATAAGGCTTCCATTAACTCTTAATAGTGAACATGGACACAATATCTTGAAAATTTCTGCGATCCCTGACCCCTCACATCTGTTCCCCTCCCTCCTCAGAGTGTAATCACTTGATTATTATGTGTGGGGCGCAATTGAGTGAGAGACCAACAAAATGTATAGTGCGCGTTCGCTAGATTTTCGCTTTTTCGCAAGATGAACGTACGCATCAAGCAGAGAAAGTGCACCAAGTTTTCCTGTTCAAGAGTTCATTACTCTCTCGACATATCCCAGTGTGATTTCTGGCACTTCCCCAATTTGAAAATCATGCGTTTTCCTTTCAGAGTCGCTACTGCTGCTCCATCAGCAGCTTGTAGATTAATATGGCCGACAATCGCAGCATGCACATATCCTCCGTAAAAATAGAATGCATTGCGCCTGTGCTTATTTCTGGTAGGGATTCTGGTAAGAGTGCATGAGCGTGCTTTGCTCACTACTAATTTGTGGACAGGCTTGAAGCAGTTGTATCACTCTTTGATCTGATTTTTCTCATGGCATCTTCACCAAAGACCTGCTGAATCTTCTTGCGGCGGGGGAAGACTGAGTATCGCCAAACCTTTGGTAAAACCTGTTGAAAAATCTCTGATCGAGACATTCAGTCATCTTACGTGAAATCGAAAATCCGACGAGTGTGCACTACACGCCTGTACTCTATGCGTAACAGCTGGGAACTGACGATGACTGTTATATTTCTATGTGCCTTGTACTGTCATGACACCTTCCTCTATGCCTTACATCTCTCAACAAGTTCCTTCCCTCTGCCACCTCCCCCAGACCACGTTCTGTCACCCCATTCCTTAAGGCCGCGAGGTATGTCATGCGTTGTTTTCCCTTGTCTCTCTTTCCCTCTCTTCAACCCATGAGTATCAGATCCTCCAGGCCCTCCTTCCTCATTATGTCTCCCAAAGACATCAGCTGCCTCTTCCTGATGTTAAGTATAAGCCCCCTGCTTGTTTGCATCATCTCTAACACCTTATCGTTGCTCACACGATCGGTCCATGATATCCTAAGCATCCTTCTGTAGAACCACATCTCCGTCACCTCGAGTCTCTTCTTCATCTTCATTCGCTGCCATAAAGAGTTCAGTATTCATTTCTTCATCAGTGACATAAAAAAACACTTCTTTGTTAGTTCTTAAATGCTTAAGATATATTGTCCTTTCTACAGACGAATTATTCCCCACCCTCCAAAATCTCTCCCACGGGCGGGATGTGACTACCCTATCGCTATTTCAAGGGAAAGTTCTCGAAGGAACTACATTACCTGGTCCCGCCAATTCAAATCTTTACGCCAAGGACACACCATGACACTTACACATTAAAAAAAAACTACCTATATTTCCTCCGTATTCCAACAGTGAGAATTAAATTCCTTTCTTAGAGCTTCTTCGCACGAACCACTGCTTTATAGAACTGACTTTCAAGAAGATTTTTCCCCGATCCCTAAAATTAAACCTCTTCAAATCTCGGGTTAACCGTTATCTTCCACCCCCATATGGGGATGAACCTCAGCTGCACCCAATTATTATTACTATTGATTTTCGGGTTGTCTCACTTAAATTGCTCCAATGTAACGGCAAAAATTATCAGTAATGAAACACTCGGTCAAAGCTGGGTTATATTGCTAGTTAATATATGAATTAAAAAACACTACATATATTCCCTCCGTATTCCAACAGTGAGAATTAAAATCCTTTCTTAGAGCTTCTTCGCACGAACCCCTCCTTTATAGAACCGACTTTCAAGAAGATTTTCCCCGATCGCCTCGAGTCTCTTCTTCATCTTTGAGGAGATCGTCCAACATTCGCTGCCGTAAAGAAGGACACATATCATGTAACAGCTCAGTATTCTTTTCTTCGTTACCAAAGAGATCTTCCTGTCTCGTAATACTCTGCCCATCTTTTGAAATGCTTCCTTGGCCATCCCAATACGTCTACGGATCTCAGTGTCGCATTTTCCGTCCTCTGTTAGAACGCTTTCCAGCTATTTAAACTTCCGCGTACAGGTGTGATAATCTTCACGAATGCTCAGGAAGTGGGGTGGGGGAGGCATCACGTCACACACAAAAGATTTTTCCCACGCAGTATTATCATGGTCGAGAAAAAAAATCTGATACTTTTTGAACTCATATATAAGTATATTTCGGTATATGTCACTAAAATTAGCAGAAGTGTATGAATGTATGATTCGACTTATGAGATTAGACACTGACTGAATATTCTTGTATCTGAACTTCTAAATAATTATACACTACAACAAAGGAAATATATTGATATCCCGAGGTCTTCTCGTGGTAATCTGCAATATAGCTAATGATGTTTAATCCCGAATAATATTTTTATATCAGCATCCTTAAGGAAAAGAAGTAATTGCTAACATTTCAGTATTATTCACATGAACGTGTACACTTTCATATGTGCATAAAAGCTCGTCGATGTTTGTATGTGTTCGCTTATATAATACGATTTCACGTTATTGGGAAATACGCATCTACTAAAGATATTCACGGTTATCAACACGCATAAATGTAAAAATAAAACTGATTGCACCAATTTTGCATACTAAATATTTACACCATAGATTATATCTCAGGCTTGATAATTGTCAGTGACTATATCCCCTATACAGTTCTTTCCGTTAGGATAGCAAATGTATTACTGTATTTTGAATATACTAATTACAGATATATAATTAACATGCACAGGTAATTAGACAAATGGTGCCAATTTGGTTAGAAATGCCGGTCTGCCTACATCATGCCTACTTCGTCAAAGGCAATAGATATTAAACGAAAATTGACCGACATCCTCATTAATCTAAACAGTTACTGATGGTGTACGTAATGTTTGGATAATAAACAAATAAAATACGTATAAAAGAGCGTTGATAATTATGTTGTGTGCCATACCTATAAAGTAAGTTTATTTATGGCTCTATAGGTCGCATCGGATTTTATATGTATTAAATCTACTGATCTATCATATAATAGCAAAAGACCAATAACAAAAAGAACTGGTCTTTAAAAGAAATGATAACTAAGTTGGTGTAACTACGGGTCAGCTAAAATCAGGTCTAATCCATAGGAACCTATAGATATTGGATGGTAAATGTCCAAAGTTCAGACATAGGTTACCAAATGATGTTGCACCCCAATTTTGCATAATAGATATAGAATATTTTCCTCAGATGTATATATGTATGTATGTATCTATCTAATTCTCTCTCTCTCTCTCTCCCTATATATATATATATATATATATATATATATATATATATATATATATATATATATCTTGTTTCAACGTTATTTTTTGATGGATACACATATTCGGGTAGAATTTTTTTTTTTTTAATTAAAGAGTATTTTGCGTCCACCTACATCTACCGGCCCGAATATTTGAGGAATCTTGTCAAAAAATATGCTGCGAAAACACTCTACGTACTATATATATATATATATATATATATATATATATATATATATATATATATATATATATATATATATATGAGTGAACATTGAAGTCAACACTCGGAGGCGACAGGTTGTTTCATGCTAGACGCAACGGTCACCCTGTTAAGTTATGACTTAAATGTTCACTTTTATATTTATGTTTACATAAGCCCTATCTCTGTTATTGAGCACTTTATCCCATAAATATAGCACACCTTAAAACTATATATATATATATATATATATATATATATATATAATACGTGAGATTGAGGAATCGTAGAGCCGAGGTCGAATCCATTACATTCACATACATGCTAACACTCTCGGAAAGGTATAAATCCTCTTCTCTCCTCAGCTACGTGTATATATAGCAGGATAGAAGGTGTTCTGTAGCTAAAAGAAGGAAACCTTGGTATTCAAAAATGCGGAGGGTCGTTTGGAGACCTTGTGTTACATAGTGCTGTATTCGGCCTATCCAAAATTGTGGTTGGCTCTGCACAAAGCCTTCACAACGATAATCAAATCATTTGTGCTTAATAACTGACGATGTGTACGCACATTTCGTAAATTAGTTTTATATTTTAAAGAACATGGAGCAAATTAACAAGCGACTGTAAAAGAAGTGTCTTAAAATATAATCTTCCAACAAAACTGTGGGTACTAAATAGTTAAATCCTTTAGTCCAGGGAAAACAAGTATTATTACAAAAATACCTATGTCCGAAGATTAAAGCTTCTGACAAATTAACCAATAATTTCGCTAATGATATTTCGTCGTATGTAAAATTATAAAAAAGCATTCCTGGCTCATATGGAAAATGCAATATGAAGTAAGATGGATTTCATCATCTTCTCTCCCGCTGGCAAATAACAATTTTGTTACGTGAGAATGTGGAAGTGTGCTTGAACGTACGATAAGAAAAATGGACAATACTTACATCGTCTTGCAATAAACATCCATTCTCTTGTATAAAAACAAGAGAAACTGTATAAAAAATATTAACAATGTATTCCTTGTCTGTCTTATTCAATAAAACATGTATAAATAAAATAAAAAAAACAGCAATCTATCTATCCTTTTCATTATTTACCCCACTCTAAAACACTCATTCTCACTCTCTCTTTCTCTCTTTCTCTCACACTCTCTCTGTGTACATCTCTATATATCTCTCTGCACTATCTCGTCCTCTATATCTTTATGCTTCCCTCTCGCTCTCTCACTATCTATAATATACCTCTCTCTTTCACTATCACTCTCATCACCTTTCTCTAACTCACTTTATCTATCTATCTATCTATCTATCTATCTATCTATCTATCTATCTCACTCTCTTTTTTCCGTATCTATCTGTCTATATTTATCACTCACTATCTCAGTCTCTTTCATTCTCTCCGTATCTATCTATCTATCTATCTATCTATCTATCTATCTATCTATCTATCCGAGACTTTTAATTCAATGAATCTATCTATCTATCTACTTATCTATCTATCTATCTATCTATCTATCTATCTATCTATCTATCTATCTATCTCACTCTCTTTTTTCCGTATCTATCTGTCTATATTTATCACTCACTATCTCAGTCTCTTTCATTCTCTCCGTATCTATCTATCTATCTATCTATCTATCTATCTATCTATCTATCTATCTATCGATCGATCGATCGATCTCTGTCTCTCACTCTCAATTTCATTCTCTTTGATTCTCTCCGTATCTAACTATCTAAATATCTATACATCTATATTTTTCTCTCTCTCGATATCTATCTATCTATCTATCTATCTATCTATCTATCTCTCTATCACTCTTTCATTCATTCTGTTTCTATCTAACTATCTATCTATTATATATATATATATATATATATATATATATATATATATATATATATATATATATATATATATATATATATATATATATAATCAATCAGGTCGAACTGTTGGGATCTAAGCTAAACCAATGGCGTAAAGTATGTTGCATAATGTCTGGGTAGATTGCCTGAAATTTTACAACCTAATTTATTGGTTGGGTCTATCTGCTTGTATATCCCTAAGGTAACGAAGCGGATACTCTATTCACGTTGTCGGCTCCTTTTAATTAAGATGAACTGTTTAAGTGTATAGCCGCAAGGAAATGACTTGTTATATTCATAGGGTCGGGCGAAATAGAAATAAAGAGAAAGAAAGGGAGAAACAGCTTTGATGGCGCATATAGACATCGGAGAATTTGCTGATAAGGTAAAGGTCATTTGTATGCCATTGCGCGCGAGAGAGAAAGATTGGATATTAGACGTGATAAACTGACACAAATAGAGTTTTGTGTATGTAATTAAATGACGGAATGCAAACGAACGAATATGAATTCAGTGCATCATTCTCTCCCTGCTTTTCCATCTATATCACTGGAGTGACAGAGATAGATACTGATATTATCATTACACACACACACGCACACACACACACATGCGTATATATATATATATATATATATATATATATATATATATATATATATATATATATATATATGTATAAGTATAAGTATAAGATTGGTGTATACAGAATGAATTCCAATAACCAACAATTACTATTCTTAAAAGAGTGCACAATACAAAGTAGAGCAGATATAATTATTTATTTAAAAAACGTTTATAACATAAATATGTTATAAAATCACAACAAAATAGCCATTTTGTTTCAACACCCCCAGTGTCTTATGAAGTGATCACCGGGGTGTTGAAAAAAAATGGCCATTTTGTAGTGATTTTATAACATATTTATGTTATAAACTTTTAAATAAATAATTATATATATATATATATAAATATATATATATATATATATATAATATATATATATGTAAAAATAATAAGAGAAAAGAGTAAGATTTATAAACCGTTGTTTTGAGCAATTATTTTATTTAAAAAAACAAACAAAAGAAACGGTTCTCGATACAAGCAATAGAGCATAATATAATTATTTTCTTCTTTTTTTTTTAAATATATGATTCATCGCTATGCAGGAATTTCGATGTTTCAAAACTGAAACTAAAATTGTAATTTTAATTATAAAAATTAAACTTAAAAACCCGAGTTTCTTTCAATTGCCAAATGATGCTAGGAATCCAAGCATTGAAATTCATTTCATTGTCAAGCGTTGCTGGCGACTGTAGCATCGATTGACAATGGAGGGAAAAACTGGATTTTAATTTTAATTTTTATAATTAAATTTACATTTTTAGTTACAGTTTTGTACACTAAGTAGAGCAAAACCTAAGGTAAGACTAAGAGTCAGGCAAATCTACTTAGCTTTCTCCTAAACGGATCTTCAGGGAAATGGCCGGCATTCATCTAAAGACCCGTTGAGTTGAAACCTAAGTAGGTATGCCAGACTCCTTTGAATTATCTTATCTATTAAATTCTGGTGTTTGTAGGACCGAGTATTCTCCCCATTTCGTTTCGGTATTGCACAGGGCTAGGAAGAGACTCCACCTCGACATTTTGGAGTCTGTTATTATCAACATACGTAGGCCTTAAGTTGGCTTTATTTGGGGGAACGGTTACATGATTTGAGGTAAAATAATTATTTCCCCCCCTTACCATCTTGTTTTATTACGGTATTAATAAAAGAAATTTTCTTGTTAGTACTCCGTTTTAGATTACCTACGATTGTGTTTGAAAATGTGTCGGTCGCAAGGTACTTTACATTTTATGTTTTAAACGCGGATACTGTTGTATGTTATGTTTAATATGATCCCATATTTTTTATTCCTCAAATGTCTGATTAGATTTGGCAGTACGAGAAATCTGTTTATATATATATATATATATAATACACAACAAATTCCGAAATTACCTCATATGTCGTGGGGGTATAGATCTATTTCATCCAACGAGAAGTAGTTTAGTCTTATCAACCCCGGTGTATAGACTGTGTTCTTGTCGGCATTAGAAATATAGAATTGAATTTTAACAGTAGTCGAAAACTTGATACAGAATTCATCCATTTCGATGTTTCAGTCAAACGAAATACCCGAGTCAATGGTAAAGTGTTGGGGTGGAAGGTATTAGACTTTTTATAAAATTAAACCGGATATTAACGTATGACATTAATTTGGTGTTATATGAAAAATGAGGTGATTAATTGAAACTAAAAGAGGGCCGAAAGATGAATTATATATATATATATATATATATATATATATATATATATATATATATATATATATATATATATATATATATAAGCAAATATGGATATAGATCTGACATGAGAACAAATATATGGAAAAACAAAAAATCCGAATATACAAATATGCTGTTCTAATGTTGTTTCAATGTCGACGTCAGACGCTTCAGTCTAGTAGACCTTCTTCAGGACATAGTTATTAAAACATAATTAACATTAGACGATATTCAATTCAACATGAAAAAGATTTTGTTTTTCCATATATTTTCTTCGTATACATATATATATATATATATATATATATAAAATATATATATATATATATATATATATATATATATATATATATATATATTCTGTTTATAGAATACTTTTATGGATACAACTTGAGTATTTGCACTGCTTTTAGTTAAGCAGTATTAATTACCTTTACCGGCCCGATTTTTCGAGAAATTTCTCACAAAATCAAAAAGAACTGGACCTGCATCTCATGCGGAAATCGCCAATTCGCCTGACGTGCTTTTAACCGATTCAGCCACAGCAGACTTACGGTTTAGCAAAGCTCAAATTAATGCTCATAAACACGCATAATTACCAACATTTCTCCCATTCAATTGCGCTCTCAAACATTACATAACGTAAACAATGACAAAATTATAAGAAATAGATTAAATCCGACAAATATAATATATTTTCTGTTTATTCAAGCCTGTAAATGTAATTAATAATATTTAATTAAAAACACAGCATTTACTCAACTAAGTTATATCCATAAAATTATCGTACAAACAGAAAATATATTAAAATATTTGTCGAATTTAATCCATTATATATAATATCGACATTATTATACACACACCCCCACATATTATATATATTCAATATATTTTATTGCAATATGTTCTTTATATTGACACAATTATTTGAGTAAATGCTCTGTTTATAATAAACATTATTAATAAAATTTACCCCCCTGAATGCCCGAGAAATTTAATAGAAATAACAATGATATATAATAAAATAATTGTCGGATTTCTCCATTTCATAATGTGTGACATCATTTGTTTATGTTTAGACACCATTCGAGGAGATGTGATCGTTCAATGGAAATCGTGGAAAATTGTAGTTTAAAAGCAGTAAAACCGAACTTGCTAACCAGACGCTTCCTCTGTAAGTAAATGGTATAGCACGTCAGACTATATGACGGTTCCCAGTAGGATATAGTTTCGATTGCTCTCAGAGGACACATGTTTTCTATAAAATTTCTCGGACATTCAGGCCGTTAAATGTGATTATTACTGGTTATTTAAATAGAGCATTTACTTAAATATCTGTCTATGTAGAGATAACGTATAATAATAATAATATATACATACATATATATATATGTGTGTGTGTGTGTGCCTGTGTGTGTGTTTGTATATATATATATATATATATATATATATATATATATATGTATGTATTATACAGAGGAGAGAGAGAATTCCCTGCTAATAATATTAACATCAAGTGTCACAATAGTTGAAGGAATAACATCGATTGCATGTGGATATAAGGTATCACTTTCTCTCCCTGAATTTAGGATAAATATTAATATTCGTCTCTATCAAGCTATGGGTAAATAGTAGTACAGATTTCTATAGCCTTGGAGTCAACTGGTCTAGGAGAATGACAAGTCTGAATTCAGATCCTGCTGAGTGTAGATTGGGGATCTTGTGGTGCGTAGTACACCAAGTCTCTGTATTCGGCCTTTCGAAAAGTGTGATTGGTACCGCACAAATGCTTCCCCATTATAATCAAATCATATATGCTGGTGACTGGCTGTCGGTTCCTGGAAACTGAGTAGCTTCACCCTCATACGTCGAATACAACGGGATAATCCACCACACACACACACACACACACACACACACACACACACACACACACACACACACACACACATATATATATATATATATATATATATATATATATATATATATATATATATATGATAAAAAAAGACTGTACACATAAGCTTCTTATATGTAGATATAGTAGGCCGATGAAAGAAATTTAGCCGACGTTTAATATCTTTTCTGTGACTTGTGACATTTCCAATATGATATATGTAATTTTTTGCAACAAAGTCAAACTTCATACTCTTTTGTCAACAGAATGAAAAGATGAAATTTCTTCAGGCTGATTTTACTATCAAAATATTCAAGTTTAGATTTGTGTGTCCACTATACACTTCTTTACATTATGAATATTTTGTATTCAATACACCATTTTTTTTTCTCCTAGAGTTGCCGGCATTGCAAGAAAGAAGAGGCTACTCATCCTCGGTATATGTTCCTTGCAATGATTGCTTGAAGAAATGTAGATATGATCAACCATATATATATATATATGTTTTTTTTATGCAAATGTTCCTCTCTATTAAAACGGTAACGAAAAATGGGTTTGTTTCACAAATGAAAGAAAGGAGGCAGGAAGCAGCAAAAAATGCAGACTATAAAAATATATAATATACTTCGAAAAGAAAACAACATATAAGAAGAGTAACTAAAGTTCCATAATAGTTCTTTAAGCAAGGAATGAGAAATCTGAGTGCCGGTTTTCAATTCCAGTCGTGTTCATTC